ATGGGATGGCTTCTCTTTTAATGTGTTTAAACCTATATCACTTGTAGGAGTTGTCAAATGTAGAATATCCTTGCAATATGTGTCTATTATTTGAACCTTCCACTTTGCTTTATAATTGTTCAAAATGTCATGTCACTTTTGAATTCTATAGAAAATGATGTTCTTATTTGATAATTCGTGTCTTCTTATATGCAATACTGGTTCTTGTTGATGGAGAAGCACAAGAACTTCTGGATTAGGTGAAAAGAGTAAACCACCTGATTGTTGTTGATACCGACAACATTTGGTAATTACCTTGGTCGAGTGGTTATAACAATCGGTCGAACAATGGTCGGTTTTTGTGAGCGTGTTCAGGCATATATTCCACTATGGGCAAAGCTCATAAAGATGACATCAACATCATAGAAATTCAACAAAATCAAAATATAATTCCAACACAAGAAACGAGCTAGGAATGTTAGCCTCAATCTGATCATAGGCCTATATATACCTAATAGTTTTTCATTTATCGGTCAGCAAATATAATTCGGCAAGTGGTAGATCGTCTGGGCAATGCAAGGAGATCTAGAAAGACACCGCACCCACGTGCTAGCATGTAAGAACTCAAATGCAGAATAAGTTTCTTGAGTACTGCTGAGTTCTCTACAAAGTACTTTGCCACTTCCATTTCAGCAGGAAATCCATGAAATCTGCTTTTTATCTCTACAGACTCGAGGGATGAAACCAAACACCGAGGCACGGATGAGAGTGTTATTTGCTCATTTTCGTTGCTCATACCCGATTCCTATTAGGAAAAAAAAAGATGAATGAACATAGAGAACAACGCATTTATTTATGTTTAAACTCTAGGGGTTGTGCAAGTCATCACCACAACTATGACGAGGGATTTCAGATTAGGAAAGCTCTCAAGAAGTCTTGGCAGCATTTCCAGGTAGGCTAAAGAAAGCTCTGCTTCAAAACAGTAGAGATTGCAAAACTGCGGTAGCGGTTCTATTTGCGTATTATAATAGAGGTACTGCTTCCACAAAATAAGAAAGACAATAAGAATCAAAAGTCACGAAAGAACATCATATACATATGAATTTGATAGACATATAATACCTCTGATGTATGGAAAGAGATCACCATTTCCCTAACTCCTGCGATACTGGCGAAGAAATTGCGGATCATATTTTGCCTCGGTAAGTCAGCCACATCAAAACATTCTTCCAGATTAAAGGCCCCCATAACATTGACCTTGGCTAAAGAACCCGAATTGCTTATGACTTTGGTCACTGATAAATCATCTTCAAAAATTCAAAAACTTGAGTCTAGGGGCATCGATTAAAACCCCCGAGTCTTTATTATCAAGCAAATCAGCATCAGCTTCCATTTCGTTACCAACCTCAAAATAATAATACTGTATATCGAGACTGGTTAATGTTTGAGAGCTCAGTCGTAAAACCTTTAAATTATCATCAACACTTCTAACAATGCTCAAATCTTCAAGAACCGGGGCAGACGAGACAAGCAACTCCAAAGCCGCGNCATTTGCAAATANATNGTATTCTAAACGCANAATCTTGAGTCGAGGAAAAGAAATTGACTCGAAATTACCCATCGTAACCCGATTGAGCCTTAAGTATACCAATGTCTTGCATACATAAAGGCTTAATGNCATCACTTCGTCCCCTATACACTTGCGCTTCAAAATGCATTCGACATCGATATGACTACAGAGTCTACCCACTGATTAACACAAGACTACTCATTATCATCTCTCTGAATACTTAACTTAAGCTTGTGAAAGCATGACTCTTTANAGAAATCAAGAAACTTTTCCATAAAACTAACAAAGGCATTGTAATCTGGGGATTGATTAGCGTCTAAATCCAANGAGNGAGTGAGAAGCCAGAGCGATTTCCATCTATCGGACAAAACACTAGTCCTAACAACATCTTTTGTCNGAAGATGAAACAAGATCATCTCAGATATCAAAGAGTCAGGTAATTTGCTTACCCAATCCTCTCTTCCTCTTTCCCTGAAGTTGTTTGCAATCCATTTGTCGAATAATCGCTCCTCTTTCGGATTGCTTTCCTCCATCAAATCCGGTTAGCGAAAATTGAACAGAGAATTTAACAGAGACAAGCTCAATGACAATCAATTCAACTGAAATGGGTTTAGGGTTTTGTGTATCGGAAAATCCGACGAAGACGAAGAAGCAAGTTCTCAAGGTTTTTTACTGGTATTTGATTATTCGGTCAAATTTTTAAGGGAAATTGGCAATTATAGCCGAGAACATAACCCAATATCTAACCAAAACACTTTTATGTGGCAAAACTATAGCTATTAAATTTATGTGTGTTTGG